GCATTTGCCATGAATTTAGGTATCTTGGTTTTTAGATCAAGATCATACTTTTACTTTCTCTCTTTGTATTTTTTGTAATGCTTTAGTTTTGATTTTATTAATATCTTGGTTATGTCTTTCATTTCCTTTCATTTACTTAGTTAACTTTTATCTTATTTATGTTCTTATCTTATTTATTTATATTTCTCTCTTTCATTATGTTTAGCTAAGTTTATTATGTCAAGGTGAAAAGGTTACACTAATGCTGCAAGAATAAGTATAGTGTAAACTTAACATGGACTTTAATATTTGATATTAACATGTTTTGTATTAGTTATCTTGTTCATTCTTAATACTTTACTTGTTAAATGATTAATTTAGATTTATGTTGTATAACACTAGGTACAACAAATACTTGGCACTTTCAACACCTGAGCTATGAAAGGAACTTGATTTGTTGTTAACATAAGTTATAATCATGAATACCTGATAATATTTACAAGTATTAGCATTATTCGAAGAAGATAACTAATATAACCAAGTTAACCATTTATAATCTTATTAGAACCTTCTTTATGTGTTTTTTCTAGTTGATTAATAAGAGTTTATACTATACTTGTTTGAAATACCATTAGTAGATCCACTAACCTTGACATTAGATTTTACCATTGTTTGATCCTCACTTTTTATCATTATTTGATCCTCACATCGATCTTCTATCTTAAAATTTTCATCAACTTTTTATTCTTCTTTTTATTATTATTATCACTATTATTGTTGTTGGTGGTAGTAGAGTTGTTGTTATTTATAATTTATACAATCAACCTCCTTGTGGTTCCACCCCGGTGTTGTCGAGTTATTTATTACTTCGATACTCTTGCACTTTAAAGAAGATATCAATCTTTTGGTCGTGTCATATAACATAAATCTAGATTAACATTTAAGAAGCAAAGTATTAAAAGTAAACAAGATAACAAATATAAAACATGTTAGTATTGAACATTAAAGTTCATGTTTAGTTTGTAGACTAGTAATAAGCTGGTTGGGGGTTGTGATTAGTACTTAAAAGTGCATTTTTGTCATGGTTTTATATCATCATTTTGCACTTGAAGTATCAATAACTCCTTAACTAAAGCATGTTTTATAATAATATATCTAATAATATAAGATACCTTTAATTTATGGTAAATGTTTATTTTAAATGCAGGTCTATCACATAAATGAAATGATTGATTGATGAATTTAAGAACTGAAATTGAAAGGACAAAGAGATGGCCAAACTTAGAAAAGAGATGTCAGTGCAATCCAAACCGGAACACTGTTCGGTAATTGTGTCATATCTAGAGCTGTAGATATTATATTTAGATCTACTTTATATGGATGGAAAGATAAGATATAGGCCTACAACTTTCATATGGAGCCTAAGACTTAAAAAGATCATTTTCAAGTCCAAATTATAGCAACAACAAAGAAGTCCAAATTTGTCTTTCAACCAGGGCATTGTTAAGTGTTTGACCCATATCTGGAGTTCTAGATTTATGTTGTATGACACGACCAAAAGATTGATGTCTTTTTTAAAGTGCAGGAGTATTGATGTCCAAATGACCTGAATTTTTTACAAAAGAAAACTGAGACAAGTTTCTACAACTTTCATGTTTTCAAGTGGCTCCAATTTTGATGTTATCAATGAC